CGCACGAGCCCCATTCCACAGCAGAGCTAAACACAATGGTCTCGGGCCAACTCGGTGCCAGAACGGACATTTCCCAACAACAATGGATAAAAATTTTCGGTAGCTGATGCCAAGAAAAAATGCCAACAGCATTCGAAAGGCTGGAGCGGAAGAGATTTGACAGCATACGCAACATGGCCGAAAAATGAGTGGCGACCAAGACCAAGTCTAAAGCTGACATAGGGCAGGGCATGGCAGGACATGGCATGGCAAACATGGTGGCGCATCATCGGGGCGCACATGTCGTATGAGTCGTCACTCATACGACAGGGCAGCCCAAAAGCAAAGGCAACAGCAGCGACAGCAGCGACAGCAGCGACAGCAGCAACGGCATCGGGAGTCAACGGCATAAGCGCCCCAAAACAGATTTGATAGTTTTTATTGATTTAAGTGGATACGGCCTAACATGCAAACAGACTCTGCGAAAAGAAATATGTAAAGAGTGTATAGCTACGAGACAAGCGGGCAAACATCGTCGCGTTTTCTCGTCTTTTTTCTGTCTGTCTGTTTTGTCTTTTTTGGCAAATGTCGCGGCCCGAACAAATGAGCATTAAACAAATACGAAGTCTCTGCCTTCGGAGCTCTCAAGCTGTTTGTGGTGTGAATCAGTTGAGCGATAGATGGCTCGAACAGTGGGCACTTCACTCAGTTTTTGCAGCAAAATACAAAGCTGGACTTGAAAGGAATTTCAATAGAAATTGTTCAAGCTTTGAGTTAAATATGTACACAGGGTGCTGCGGGCACAGGGTGTTTTAAGATATAGCTAAAATAAATATTTTCATTTTATAATTTATAACATATACAATTATTTATACATATGCATATATTGTGCTTATCAAGTTTATCTAAAATTCGACAATTACTCATAAAACTAACGAAATGAAAAGGTCCCCAAGTCGCCGCATGAATATTGCTTAAGTTTCAAGCAAATACAAAAGGAAATCTCTACACAGATTAACCTAATCACATATGTTTCTAAATGCGCAATAATTATGCCACATCTCGATCGTCGAGTCGCTCAAACAACAAATATATGTATGTAAAGAGCTCTTGTCTAGAGTTTCATTTGATCTAAATATAAAATAATCGGTATGGTATTATAGATTATACATTCCATTTAAGTAAAATGAACCAATAAAATTTCAGGGTTTGTTTTTGTTCTTGGAAACACATATGAGAATAAATTTTGGTTTAAGTATGATAATTTATGGGACCACCGACTCATTCTGTTCTAAAGCTGTGAAAAATATTCTTTGTCTTTAATTCAACGTAATCCTAATTGGCATATATAATTAACCTAATTCTGTAATGGAGCTGTGATGGTATTAAATACCTTTGAATATATAAAATATAAAAGATCCCTAAACCCCTGCCCTCTCATTCTTTTATAACAAATCACAAAGAGAACACAAGTGAAGTTATTTGTTTTATAGATATTATTTGGTGAGATTTTTACATAAGTATTATGTTATTTACCACGGACTGGTTTTTTTGCTGAGGTGGCCTTGAAAGCTACAGTGGGCGATTCTTCAGGCTTCTCAAAAAGTCTTTTATAGTTAAATGGTTGAAGCAATGGTGTGCCTTTCTTTTGAACTTCAGCCTTGCCAAACATATCAAGAGAAATGATCGATGGGTGATCTTTAACCCCATATATACTTCCCACCGATTGCTGCATCCTGGCTAGTTGGAGCTGTGCCTCAAGAGATGCTCGCTTATGCTTATGTATATTTGCACGTCCAACTCTAATTCCTTCGAGCAATCGCTCTTGTATGGGATGTCGACGGATCCAAGTCCACGGTTTTGTATCATCAAATGGTTCATGTATTAGCACTGGTAGCATCAAGCCCAGGTATTTCCGGCCGGCTCCTCTGAAAGGCTTCTTCTTTGGTGGTGGCTTCTTCTTCATCAACGGCTGATTATTTTCCACAACATTTGAGTACAAATTTGAAATCTCAGCGATGCTTTTCCTATTATCGCGACCTTTGCCGCCTTTGTTTTTAGCGTTTTTACCTACACCGCCATCGTCATTATCACCAGCGTTGTTTTTCTTTCTATTTTTATTCCCAGTTCCATCGTCACTTCCATCATCACTTCCATCTTGACTTCCTCTTCTATTTCCATTGCCATCGCCATTTGTATTTTTATTCTTATTTTTATCCCTTTCCTCACCATATCCATTATTTTCATTACTGTTATTTCCATCTCTGTCTGTATCTGCATCTGTATCATTAATACCATCGTCACCCGATCTGCCATTCACATCATCATTACGCGAATCATCACCAAACCTAAACGTCGGATTCTCCAAAAAGTTTGCCAAATCTGCATTGCCATTCTTTCCACTTTTAAAAAAGTCCTTGCACGTTGTCCCCTTCCTGCTGCTAAACATTTCATACTCTGGTCTTTTACTCGGTGGCTTGTCTACCTCGCAGGGTAAATTCAAAAAATGATCCAATATCGAAACCACTAACTGATGAACATATGGATGAAAGGATGGATGAAGATTGCCCCGGCGATCGTAAATGCCATCGTAGAGTAAACAAGTGTATGGCCGAACGAACGGCACCCGGCAATGAGTCCAGCGAGAGCATTTCGGATTAATTATCTCGCCAAATTTTTTCATAGTTAACTCAAACATAAAGCTGCTCACTTCTTGCAGCGGCTTTTGTACTATACTAGCAAGGTTTTTTAATACGCTCGCATTCCGTTGACTCCATCGCCGCTCCTCCGAGTTCCAATGTGGACTGAGCCGCTTACAATTCTTAGCAGTGTCCGACTCCCTTTCACAGTTCAGCAAACGCAGCAATTCGCTGACTGGCTGCCCGCAGAAAGGGGAGCAGAATATCGGCATCGAAATTGAATTTATACTCGTCTGTACCTTTAAAATTTAATTTTACAACTGAAGCTCAGCCCGAATTCGAGGCATTAGGTAAATGTCATGTTACTTTAAACGCCTACTGCCAATAGCAGAGAATATTTCTTGAATATCTCGTATCTTAAGTTTTCCGCTTAACTCTGGAATTTGAATCGGCTTGCAATTTAACAAAAATCGGCAACACTTTTCTAAGATTTTTATATTTGGGATCTTCTTCAGAAATATCCCAAATATACCGTTGCGATGACTCTTGTCATAAGAAAACGGGGAAAAGTCCGAGATACGGAACGGAGTTTTTCGCTATGAGACCAATGCTAGAACTGACAATGATGAGATACCTCTATTTTTATACCAAAGTCAAACTTTGCTTTATTTAGTTTTCAATCCTTAAAAGGATCGTTTTTGTCCTTTCATAAAATATTTCCAGTTATAAACCCTAAATAAAAACAATTTTTCAATAATGTTTTGAACTTTTATTTGAACAATTATGATTTTCTAAAGTCGTAGTTGCATTAAAATCAAATTTTTGATTAGTCAAGATGGGTGTACTATAGTGGGTTAAACCTTTGCATAATACGGACTAGTGCGTCGTTTCAGTAAGATTACATTCACTATATGCTTCGCACTATAAATATAAATCAAAATTTGCCTACGTGAATATCCGTGCGTATTTCGAGAGCTCGTCATCTTTTTATTATTTAGCTTTCTGTCCTGCTTTTATTTGACTCTTATTGCGGCGTGACATATTGGCAACGTCATTCCTCTCCAACAGTTTTTTATAGTTAAAAGGTTTAACCAAAGGCGGGGCTTTCTTTGGTCTTTCGCCCTTGCCAAACAAGTCATATGAAATGATCGATGGATGATCCTTAACCCCATACAAACTTCGGACTGAGTTCCTTTGTTTCGCTTTTATGTATTGTACCTCGAGAGTTTCACGCTTATACTTGTGTATCTTGGCACGTCCTAATGTAGTTCCTTCAAGCACCCGTTCTTGTATAGGATGGCGACGGATCCAGGTCCACGGTTTTGTATCATCAAATGGCTCATGCATTAACACTGGTAAGATCACTCCCATGTATTGCCGTCCGGCTCCTCTGAAAGGTCTTCTTTTAGGTGGTTTTGGTTTTTTCTTAACTATGCGTTTTGTCTCCACTATACTTGAGTACAAGTCAGAAATATCAGCGATGTTTTTCTTCATTTTAGCGCCATCGTCGCCACCAACACCACCACCATCATCATCCTCATCACTATCGCTATCTTCACCTTGTCCCTTACCACCTTTCCCACCTTTGCCATCTTTACCAGCTCTACCTTTACCATCATCGTCACCATACCTGCCACCTCCAAACTCATCGTCAAACGCGGAATTATTCAAAAAGTCGTTTAAGTCTGCCAAATCAGCATCATCAAAACCATCATCATCGTCATCATCACCCTCACCACCGCCACCTCCTCCTCCACCACCACCACCACCACCACCACCACCAGCACCACCAGAGCCACCTTTACCGCCTCTTCCGCCCCTCCCGAATCTCTTTCCACGCTTCCTGCGCGGTTTAAAAAAGTCCTTGCACGTTGTCCCCTTCCTGCTGATAAACATTTCATACTCTGGCCTTTTACTTGGTGGCTTTTCCACTGCGCAAGGTAAATTCAAATAGTGACGCAATATTGCAACAACTAAATGAAGAATATACGGATGGAAAACTGGTCGAAGATTTCCCTGACGATCGTAAATGCCATCATAGAGCGCACAAGTATCCGGCCGTACGAGCGGCACCCGGCAGTAAGTCCAGCGCGAGCATTTTGGATTAGTTATCTCGCCAAACTTTTTCATTGTTAACTCAAACATAAAGCTGCACACCTGATGTAACGGCTTACGTACTATGCCGGCCAGCTTTCTTAACATACTCCCATTGTGTAGACACCATCGCCGCTCCTCCGAGTTCCAAACTGGACTCAGCCGTTTGCATTTCTTAGCAGACTCTGTTTCCCTCTCACAGTTCAGTAAACGTAGTATTTGACTGACTGGCTGACTGCAGGAAGGGGAACAGTATATTGGCATTGAAATTAAAAATTTAAAAACGTGTGTACTTGAACAATTTTATTTTGAAACTAAAATCAGTTTCATTGGCAGCGAATACTTTGACTCTCCCCTTACACGCCTACTGCCATTGGGCAGTAGGTAGGCAGGTAGGCAATTCTATAATACTATATACAATATACTCTGGATTCAATTTAAATGTTCTGTTCTGTGCCTTATCTCATGGCTCCGCAGCAGGTCGTAATATCTATTCCAATGGATGCCACTCATCGATTCGGCTACTTTCCATGGCTCATGGTACAGCAAGAGCACACGATCACTGAACGGCATGTTCTCCTTTTTAAACTGATATAGTTTTGGCACCTGCCAGTGAACATTTGCAAACCTTTCCGGCTTTGACACAACAGCTGAGTAGAAGTTGGATATTTCTGCTGCGGCAGCGTTATCAGGTTTTGTTTCCTTTAAAGGGTCTCCCAAGTCTGCTTCAATCAAGGCATTGAGAAGTTGATCAGGATTATCTTTCATGTTTTTCTCTAGCAATAAACGCAAAAAATACTTTTGCTTCGACTTTAAAATAGCGAGATCTATGGTTCCAAGACCACGTCGCCGTCCGTTGTCATCCATCAATAATATTTCTTGCATATTGAAAAGAGAGTATCGTGCACCCTTTTTCGCTTTTGATGTATTGACTTCGACTTTGCTTGATTTGTAAGCCTTTTTAACACCGAATATACTTTTGGAATGCGGTTTGAGATTATTATGCTTGTCGATGCTTTTGACAACGCTAATGTGGCTCCTCTTCTTGGATAGTTTTTTAGTGCTCATGTTGTCATTGTTGATGTAATAGTTGTTGTTGTCCTTGATGTTGTTGTTGAGGCTGAGTCTGTTTTTGTTCAGGATAATGATCTCGCTTTTGCCGCTTTTTTTCATACAACTCAATGGCAATCTAAGTTCAGGTATTATCGACTCGGTGCCGTGCTGCATTTGTTTTTCGATCTGTGACTGTTTCTTCTCCCAATTGGAGCCCCACCGCGATATATGCTGCATCAATTGTAGAAGTTGAAAAAGACTCTTGGGATCCGATGGATGGCGAAGATTGCCCTCAAAGTCAAAGATAGTCAGGAGTTTCGTACACGCATCAGCGCTGGCGAACGGCACTTCACATTTGTTCGCAAAACCGCTTATTGGATTCAAAATCTGACTGTAGTTCTGTACCGTAATATTGTACATCAGATCGGATATCTCATCAATTGGCTTGTCCAACTTGGTTGCCAAGTGATGTGCTACATTAAGGTTGCGCGTTTGCCACTTCTCCCAGTCTTTATTGAAAGAATCTCGTGCAACGTGAGAACGATGTCCAGAGAACCTTTTATATAGCTCTTCGCCGGCCTTCAAGCTTTCCATTGCTTACATCTAAATGGCAGGTATGTACCGCCGTCACCATTATATTAAACTGTCAAAATTTGTGTATAGTTCGAATCACATTATAGATTTGTTAATAACACAAATATTTAAATTGATATTTCCGGCAATGGTTGCCCCTACGGCCATTGACCTCGCCAAAACACAAAGCAATATGATGCGTTCTGGCAGACAACAAAACATGTGTTTCCATCACACACAAAAAGAAGAAAAACAACAAATTATATATTTAGGCTAGGCCATATATGTAAGTTGCTATTAATCTCTCGTAAAATCCAGACAAATTACAATAACCAAATTAATTGCCAGTCTCTCCATCTCTCTACCTCTCGCTATCTATCTCTCTCTCTATCTACCTCTCTCTCTCTCTATCTACCTCTTTCTCTCTCTATCTACCTCTCTCTCTCTCTCTCTCTCTATCTACCTCTCTCTCTATCTCGTTTTCTTTCTCTCCCTCTTTTTTGTTCTTCTAGTTAAAACATATGTTTATTCTTTAGCCTGTCAACATGTCAAGGTGAATCAATCTTAAAATGTTCAAGTACGTACGTTGCAATTTGTAGAATGAGTAATGCTTCTAGGGAAAATAAAATATAAAATAATAAAGATACAGTACATCTACTTTAAATCACAAATTATGTTTCAGGATTCGTTATGTAGAGCCTGGATTATTCTGTTGGAAATTCAGTTCTTTCATACCCGTATTAATTTTATTTTATATATCCGCTTACATAATCTAGACTGATATGTTTACGGATTGCGATAGTCTATTGGACAACTGGCCATTCAAAAATATCTTAAAATCGATGTGATAATATTGCAACTTTTAACATAGGGTATATTTTGGTTGAGCGAAAAGCTCTCACAATTTTTTCCCAGCGTCAAAGAAAATTGATTCATATAATAAATTTTTACACATGCTGTCCGCCGATGATTCCAAAGAAAATTAACCAAAAGTGAAGAGTCGCAAACAAGGCACATCAACATAAACAACAAACAAAGCATGGAGGCAATGACGATCGGCGTGGCTAGCGAGCAGATTCGGATGGGAAGGGAAAGTGAAGGAAAGGAAAGTCAATAACCGCGCGAGCTCTCGAGCGTCAGCGTCATCTCTCGTACCACCAACAATCCATACCATTCCATTACTTACGTGTCGCTTTTGCGCTGTGATTTTTTTCAATTTTTTATTTTATTTTATTTTTTTTTTTTTTTTGGGTTTTGAGCCTAAACAAACACGCAACTGTGCTGAAAGTATTTGGTTTGTAGTTCACTGACACTTCAAAATGCAAGAAAATTACTAAAATCATATGATCTGTGGAAGCAAAGAAGTTCAAACATCAAAAAAATATCCTTACTAAGTATAGAGCTCTCCCTCTCTCCTACGTCTCCCTCTCTCTCTCTCTCTCTCTCACTCTCTGCAAATTCAAGTTAGAATTCTTCGCGAAACTCTTTTCTACACACACCACATATAGTATGTACATACGATAAAAAGCCTACAGAAATCATCTCAACCAGACCGTAAAACAATAATTACAAAATTGCATGTATTTTTCTCTGGGTAACATGAACAATAACTACAACAACAATCAATTTGAGGAACACTCATCTAAATCTAAACGTAGATAAAAAAAAAATAAAAATAATGTTGACATGACAATTTAAAGAGGGGGAATTTTCTCTGTACATTTGGATCTTAAAAAAAAAAAAAAAAAAAAAAAAGATTTTGCCTCCAAATAATAAATAAATTAATTAATAATTTATTTAATAATTCGAATGCCACGTTTTAATTATATGCGGTTATCTACGAGCAACTATAGCCATTTTGTAACTTTCATCGAAGATTTCAATATTCTCTAAAATTTCTCTTAAAAGATCTTTATTTAGTAACTCTCGTAGAAGTAGCAAACACAAATGTTAACGCCGATAAATTGAATTTCTTAAATAATTTTGCTATACTTACAATTGGCGAAAGTCTTAAGGCAAGCAATAATCCTCAAATGGAATATATTTTACAAATTTTAATTTGTTTATATATTTTTTGTTTTTTGTTTCAAAATTGTGACAAAGTTTGTGTTTTTAACTAATTGTACTTTATTTATTTAATAATTGTAAATTTGTATTAATTGCACTTGTTTTGTTTCATAATTATTGCATTATCGATCTTGGTTTTAATTATAATTTATAAATTGTTAATATCGCTTAGCTAAACAACGGAACAATGAACACATTGGCGATATTCAAACAACATTTGTTGTCGTCGTCGGGTTTTATTGCACTTATTAATTGCACTTTTTGTTTTATTAATTATTCGATCGCTCGATTTTTTTGAAGCTGCAAAAATTGTGAAAGCAGAGAAATATTAATCTTTATATAACCTCAATGTTGTCAGCGCGATAAATTCTATAAACAAAAGAAGACACAAATTTGTCTCGAACGCTTTCCATGCTTCTCCATTGCCTTCTTCTTCTTATTCAGCTTGGGTTCAATTTTCTATTTCACTCGCCTGTTTATGTGTGCACACGCTCGCTCTCTCCCTCTCTGTCACTCACACAATCACACACTCACACTCACACGTAGCCACACGCGGACACACTCTCACACGCTAGCAAGCACACAGCACGCACACATACACATACACGCTGACATAAATACATTTGTACATTTATATATGTGTATGTATGTATGTGAGTATATTATCAGATTCAGACACAGCGAAATTCCGCTACACCGGATATTACAATTGAAAAGAGCGGATTCGTTTTTTTTTTTTTTTTTAAATCAAAATCACCACAAAAATAATATAAATATATAAAAAAAAATATATATTGTATGTTTGACCATTTGTTGTTCATACACTTTTTTAATATGTATATATGTATATACATATACCGAATACGTTAATATCTACTATCCAAATACACAAAGAGCAGGATGTGAACTAATAACAATAACAACTTGACTTGGTTAATTTTCTTTTTGCCCTCTCGAACATGTTTTTATTCGATTAATATAAATTTTTGATGCGAATTTCATTATGCGTTATAAATTTTGATATTCCTTGATATTCGCGCACTCACTTCAATTGCTTAAACTTTTACAACAACAATCACTTATTGCAGTTTGCTCAATAGCCGTTGTTGTCACTGTTGCTGTTGTTATTGTTCTTGTTGCTTAAGTCTTTGATTGTGTGTTGAGCTAGCTAGCTAGCTGCTGTGTTGTGTGTGGCAGTGGCAGAGTAAAAACATCGAACATGACGCGCTGCCTCCGCTGCTGAAAACTCTGACAAACCGTACAGTTTGAAAGTTAGTGTCGGACTGTTCGGAATGCTGGCGTTGTTCCCTCGAACAATCACGAAACGTGCCGACGACACGATGCCAGCTAACAGCTAGCAGCGGCAATGTTGCATGGAGCGCTCGTGTTGGAACGCGCCCAGTCCGAAATATTTCTACACGACTGGAATCGAAACTGGAAGCGGAGCCGAAGTCAAAGTCGTTGTTGAGTCGCCCGCATAACCAGTGTATGGCCGGTTCGCACAGCTGAGCGCCATTTACTACTGCAATCAACCGTTAGATACATATTTATCTAAAAGATAGACCGCACGTACACTACAACAACAGCAGCAACAACAACGGAATACAAAAATAAAAATACAATAACAAAAACCAAACGAACGAACGCGCTGTCATCGTAGTAAAGGCAAAACCGGTAAAGCAGCAGCACTACATTTTGTGTGGGCGAAGAGAGCAGATCCAAAGAGCGGGCCGCGCTTCAAAAGAGACAAAGAGAAAATCTATTGCAGCCACGATTGTGGCTACGGATTTGTATTCGGGTTGCACTTGGTTTGGGTTTGATGCTGTTATTTACAGTCTTGAAGAATGCCACGAACGCAACTTATACTTTGCTTGATAAATTTATTATATGTTTTCACATGGGAAAGCGATTTCGTGGCTTGACTTTAATTTTATGTCATATTGTATAGATGTTTGTTTATGCATATGTTGCTCGCCAAACTCCCGCAGAAAACATTTCGCTTTTACAACTAATTAAATTTATGTAGCGAGAAAAAAAATAATAACAAAAGTCAGATAACCCCAAGAGGTCATAAACCGAAAGTGACCAAATTTTGGGAATTGTGCCGACACAGAGCATTGACTTTATCAATAATAATAATAACTACACACCCAACCAGAAATCGAACTTAGCGATAGCATTTGAACTTTAGACCCTTGAGTTTGGCGGTTCAATTTGAATGAATAGCAAAAAAAAAAAAAAAAAAATATATATATATATATAAATAAAAAAAGGAAGAAACAAAAATGAAATAAAGCAATTATAGAGCAAAAACAGACATTTGCCTCACTACCTGACTAAGAGATACCAAGCCATTCTCATCTTCAAGCCTTAGCATACATTCGACCTTCCTTATGCACACATCGACACCAATTCGCACAGTGTATGCAGGTGTGTATGTGTGTGTGTGTGTGGGTACTTACACATATACCCTTCACCAGTCGTAAGTAGTTCATAAGGTACGCATACCCGGCTGCAGTTCGCTGGCGAATCGAACATGGCGATGGCCGCTTTTATAAGTCTATTTACTTATACATTACCTTGCGCTTGCGAATGTGTGCTTACAAAGAACCGGTTTCATGTGTGCTTTTTTATTGTCTTATACATATACATATACACATGTATGCATACAAATATATAATATATATTTATACATACATATATAGTTTTTTTTTTTGCTTGTAAGCAACGCAATGCAGGCAGGCTTTGTGGCTTTTGCTATTTGTAGAAGAGAAATATATATTTGAAATATTGCAAAGTAAATAATTAATAATAAAAGTACATTTTTGTATTTTATGTAAATTATCATTGTTGCAATAGTCTCGGCGTTGATCTTCAGCTATTCCCTCATTATCATTTAATTACAGCTTAGAGTGAACCACATTATGCTGGTAGACACACCACAAACACACAAACACACACACACACGCACACACACACATGCATATGTACTAAGGCATCAAATGAAAACGAATAATTTGATAATATTTCAGCAACATTTAATTATAGATGTGAAGTGTGTATTCTGGTTGCAGTCACTAAATCAAAATAATCATTGCAATGATTATGATGTTAAAGTTGCTCGAGCCGGCTTGACTAGGTTTTGTGGCAGCCTCGCACAGAATGGGACACTCTAATATAATTTACGACACTGCAAATGACGACGGCGACGTAAGCCCTCTGCAGTCGCACATACATACTTTTTAACAACAGCCAACAGCCAACAGCCAAGCAGCCAACCTGCAAGAAGGCCTAAAGTATCAC